TTTTTTGTGGCGGAACCGGGGATTGAACTCAGGCCCTTGTGCTTGCCAGGGAAGCGCTTATTCCACTGAGCCATCTCTCTGGCCCCTCTGCCTCAGCTTCTTGTTTGCTGTGATTACAAGCATACCACCAGGCCCAGCTATACTAATTTTTATAGGGGAGAATAAAAACTCAAAGTTTTGTTTAGGTAACATCCCCAGATACTTTACTTTAACCTTTTTCTTCATTTGTTTTCCCTCACACTTATGTTACCATTTGTAAAATTCTTCCCAGCTCTTAAGGTTCTGTAATTGTGCAGACGTGGAAAGAATAGTATAACAAACTCTCATTTACCTGTCACTGGACTACACCCTGTGGCCAAAATACAAAAGATTTAAAACAAGTTGGCTATGGTGGCACACACCTGTCATCCTTGCACTGAGGCGAAGACTGGCAAACTGCCATGAGTTCACGTTCAGCCTGCACTACATAGTGAGGCCTTGCCTCAAAAAAAAAAAAAAACACCCCAAAATAATATTGTTAATATAAAAATGGTAATTCCTTTAGATTTGCTCCTTGATCATTTTCATGATTATCATAATTTATTTTATTATTTATTTGTTTGTTTTGGTGCCAGGGATTTAACTTGGGATCTTGTGCTTGCCAGGCAGGTGCTTATGTTGCTGACTTATCTCCCAACCAATAATTTCTTTTTCTTTTTTTTTTGGCAGAACCGGGGATTGAACTTAGGCCCTTGTGCTTGCCAGGGAAGCGCTTATTCCACTGAGCCATGTCCCCGGCCCCTCCTGGCCAATAATTTCTTTTAAAGCTGTTGAGATTCATATAAAGTGCTATAGTTGTAATTGGCTGAACATTTTTTTTTAAATTTTAATTAATTAATTAATTAATTTGTGCGTGTGGCCAGCTCAGCCCACCAGGGGGCGGGGCTGGCTGGCGTGGTGCTGGGGGATTGAACCGCGGTCCCTGTGCTTTGGCTAAGCTTGTTCTAAGTAGGTGCTTTAGACCACTGAGCCATCTCACCAGCCCTGGCTGAACATTTTGAAGTCATTTTTTAAAATGTGTGTATATTATCTCAATCTCAAACTTTATTTTTAACTTTTTATTTTTATTTTTTAAATTAGTATATGTGTGTGCTGTTAAATATTTGCATTGCTTGTGTGGAATTGGTTCGTGTATAAACACATCTTAATTCCTTTTTTATCTTTTTCTCTTCTTCCTTCCCCTTCATCTCTTCGTCTTTTACCCATGTGAGAAAGATGTCTCCTGCTTCTTATCTTTTATTGGTTTATATTTATTTGTGTTGCTTTTTTTTATAATTCTGTTTGTGAGAAATCATTCAGTATTTAAACTTGTGTGTCTGACATTATCTAAAGATGCATCCATTTTCATACAAATGACTGGTTTATCCTTTATGGAAGAGTAGTTTTTATTATGTGTAAATACAGTATTTTCTTCTTTCATCTTTTGACGGAAATATAGATGCTTCAAATTTTTTTTTTTCTTTTTTTTAGTTGAGACATGGTCTGGCCTTGAACTCACTATGTAGCCAGGTTGGCCTTGAGCTCATGGCAGTCCTCTGCCTCCTCCTCCCAAGGGCTGGAACTACAGGTTTGCATCACCATGCCTAGCTTTTTCCAAGATTTAGGTAACATGAGTTGTGTTGCTATAAACAGTATGTATGTATCATTGCAGTAGGATGTTTTTAACTCTTAGTAAGATAACTAGCAGGGAAATATCTGAGTCAAGTGTAATTTCTAGTTTTAATATTTTGAGGA